TTACTACAAAAAAAAAAAAAAAGAAAAATAAAACAACCTCCCCCTTTCCTCTCAGCATCTCTGTCATCAGAAATTTGGCAGTAGTGCACATCCAAAGCTTTTATCAAATGAAGCCACTCATTTTTACATTGTTCCATCTGTTTTATTGTAAAATACTAGACATTTACGTATTTACTGTGTATGTATTTCTTTTAAAATGTGTAAGTCTTATGTAAATGGATATAAATATGATTTTTTAAAAATAAAATCTATGGTACATGGGGTCTCAGTGCAAACATTTGACAATACAGTGTCAATAATACTGTTTGTATCTTTCCATTCCACCATTTTTACAGTTTTTGGATTGTAACAGTCAAATGAATATGTTTAGCAGAGTTAGAAGCTTCAACATGTTCCTACTGAGAAAATCTGTCAATATTTAAAGCTGAACACCTGCCTCTGATGATGTATAATAGAATGACATAACCTGGAACTGGAGCCAAAACGGACCTCTAAAGACAAAATGGAAATGTTAGATATCTATAGAGAAGCACCATAATGGCTCACCTCTTAAAAACAAACAAATAAACCCAGAAGAACTGTTTACAAAAAAAAAAAAAAAAAGCAATTTAATAAAACATGATTTATACAAAAAAACCAAAAACTTTCTTCTATGTTACCTGCGGACCAAGACGAATCTTGCTTTACCAAGAGCCACCTTTTCGTTCCAGGATCTTCAGACACCAGCCAGCATTGGAAAATTAAATCTAATATTTGCATAGAATCAAATTCTTGTTTCCAGATATAGTCAACAAAGAAAAAGAAAGAAAAGAGAAGCCAACCCCCACCATTTCTTCATAATAACAGGGCATTAGACAGGCTCCTGTCTAACGTTATGCTTTTAGCCAAGATGGCCTTGCTGAGACTTCACAGAAGTCAGTTTTATCAGAGGAAATAACTGAAAGACAGAGTGATTAATATATAGTGTATAAAAGTTTAGAAGAGCAACTATTACCTGCTGTGGCTTTATTTGGTGGTGTTATTGTTGTTTATTCTTTGTTTAAATGGGAAGTTTCAAAGTAAGACCTACTTAATAGTCATTTACCTATTTGCTATTTTTCTGCTGCTTGATCTTAGCTCAAGACCTGTCTTTTAGTTATTTCTTTTAGCAGTTTGATCTGCAATGTTTGCACGTACATAAACATTTGTTTTGTCTATTTTCATTTGGCAAATTTCAGTCAATCAGATGGTGAAAGATTTTTCTCCCCCAATGTCAATAAAAAAGAATTCAGTGCTATTTGTGTTTATAAGTCTATTAAGCTTGGTACGTAGTAGCATTAAAATAGTTTGGATGCCAGATACTTCTCATAGCTAAGCATAAGCACATTTTGCCACTAACAGGTGGGAGTCACGATGGAGTTACTGGTCAGAATCTGCCACAAGAGGGAGCACGGAACTCGCGGATGGGTGATGGCCTGGGTTAGCGCACAGCTCTGTACAGACACGGCTCTTTCACGTACAGTGCCTGGGGTTTCACCCACATCCTTGCTGATGTTCCGTCTTCTCCTCCCTCAACCTCCTTTTGGATTATTTTAGTCCAGAATGTCGCGAAGTAAAGCAATGTAAACACCATTTTCAGTGGTTGCAGTATCATTTGAGTACACTTCCCCTCGTAAACACCAACTCCTATTTTACAGAATTTCTTTTTCAGCCCACGCTGTCACAGCTCATGCTCAAATTCAGGGGGCAGAAGGGGATGAGGTGTGTTGGGGAAAAGAATGAGCAAGACCTTGCAACCAAAGCTGCAGGTATCCTGCCCCAGGAGTACAGCAACCCCAAATTATTTCACAGTGGAAGAAAACCAACCAGAAGAATTAAAAACGTATTTTAAAAAGAGGATTATTGTGGACTTCAGTTTTGATCTAAGGTTCACATATAAAATCTCCTAGTACATGCCTGTCTCCCCCATACGAGCTGAAGCTCTAGTCTCAACAGCTAGAAATTGTGGCTATTCTAAATGTTGTCTAGTTGGCTCCAACCCTTTTGCTACGCTGGGAATAATTACTACATCAACCTCTTCCAGCCAAGTTTCAGTAACTCCCTGACCATTCAAATCTACCCACATGCTGCTTCTCTCTAAAAAATAAAATTAAGAAAAGCAGTGCTCTCCTACCACTTATTAAACAGGCTTGTTCTTCCTTGATGGTATAACCAGGTTGCTGGGCAGCACCAGAGCCATGCACAAGAATGACTACTCCTTCTCCCTTCCTCCAGCTCGGCACAAAGCTAAAGCTGCAGACAAAGCATTCTGCAATCACAGTTCCTCAGCAAAAGGCTCCTCTGGAAAACAAAAGCAATGCCCGTGAAACAACTACTTTTCCATACTGTACTGCTGCAATAACGTGGCTTTCTTTGTCTGGCTTTTCTGAATGCTGATGAATGAGACATTTGGCATTTCTGGAATCCTCCACATTACCAGGGCAGGAGTAGAGTGAGTACACCTGACCACTCTGCCCCTCTCCTTTATCCCAGACTTGATCTTAAATGATTCCCACCAAAACAGAAAATAAAAAAGAAAAAAAAAAGAGGAAGAAAATTAAAAAAAAAATAAAAAATAAAAAAAAGCTCAGACTTGCACAGAAAGCAGAAGTTATTACAAATATTTTTATCATGGAGACACTCTAAGAATGCTAACTATTCAAGCTCTTCACAAACAGTTCAGAGGACAGATGATTGTTTTTTGTCAATATTAATGAGCAAATAGCCCCTCAGAAAGGTAAGTGCCTAAGTATCCGTTACTAAGGGGGGTTTTGTTTTGTTTAAAAGGTTTGATATTAATTCTCTCTTCCTTAAAAAGAGAGCCCCAAACTAGAAAACGGGTTACCTTTCCTTACAAGTGGAGAAACTGCTGTAAGAACATGAGATGTCATTGGGAAAACTATACAAGATCTAGGAAATAAATTCTCTTCTCCTACATCCTGTTGCAGTATCTTTACTAGAGGGCTTGTGCTCTCACTAATTAGTTCCCCTCCCCTGCTTCTGCAATTACAGCGGGATGGCTGCAGCCAGGATAACTACAGCAAACATACACAACATCTCAGCTTTCATTGTACAAAACAGTAATGGCCATGCGCCTTGTGAATGTGCCTGTTTCTCTGTGATAAGACCCTTGTAGTTTCTCACTGATATAAAAAAAAAAAATCAGTGACAACTCCCAAAATCAATCTCTTGCCCTGTAGCTATTCAGCATAGGTTGCTAAGTTGTTGCATTGTGAAACTGATAAATACTCAGCAGTCTCTGCACAGCACTCCATTATTTGGCATAGGCCTCCTATTAAAGCCTTGCTACTTAAATAATCCATCCAGAAGAAAATAATATCTTCAACTAACTGCAACTTATATAAAAAGTATTTAAAGAAAGTTTTCAGGACATCTCTGAGGAGCAAAATTACTCCCACATACAAATCACCAACCTGTATAGTTAGCGTATCTACCATAAAACATCATTAGCCTTTACTCAGTTTTTAAACGCTTTTACTCCTTGTTCAGATTGTGATTTTCAATTAAATCAAATAGCTGAACAGGGTGGCTACCTTATGCAATGATTTAGCAAAAAAACAAGTACAGCACGGACTCAAACTAGGCTGTTTTATTATATGACTGTATGACCTGCTTCAACACGGTTGGCCCAGCTGCATGCAGTCCCTAGTGAAAAAACACATGGACATTTTATTTATTTCCTATGTAGCTGGTAGAGCTCATTGACTTTACAAAAAGGTTACAGGCACAAGGCAACACTGGAGTATGGCTCATGTTAATTAGCACCTATCACCTTTTAGCTCCTACATCAATCTGCTGGTTTATTTTACCCATTAACAGGGCTATTATCCTTACCTCTACGCAACAGGAGGTAACAGTATTTCTGGACTCTTTTGAGGACACACTGCCATAGCAAAATATGTCTAGACTTAAATTCTACCTTAGCTTAGCCTAAGTACAGAACCTCTCTTTTATACCAACATCATCTGAATTTGCATATGGCTTACCGTTTCTTCCTCAGGAAAGCATTGTCGAGTTTGAGTAACTTCTCTGCTTTTAAACTTTTCTGTGACCGTGTATTTTAAATAGGATTTTTACATTTATTGTTCAATTAAAAACCTGCAGCTTGAGAAGTAGTGCATGTAGGGAGCGTATCCTCCATCCCCTGCTTTGTTGAGAACCCCCTAACTATTACGAAATAGCCTATGAAGTCACGAATGGGCTGCCTAGTATCTGTATTTGCTAAATTTCCTGGTTATATATATAGCTCAGTGAGCCTGAAATGTCTGATTATGTCAGCAAAAGCACATTCTGGTTATCCTTACCATAAGTGATACAAGCCACAACAACCAAATTATCAGAAAATGCAAAGGGTAAATGCCTGCCTTCATTTAAAATACATTGTTTTTATTGAATATTACTATGGAGAAATCAAGATTTTCACAGATTTGAAAGCCAGAAATTATCTATCATTTTACAAAAAAGACACTTCACAAAGTTATTGAGTAAAAAAATTATAGAAATCTAATTTATAGCAGAAAGACTCAGGAAAAAACAACAGTGGATCAAGAAAACTAATTTTAAAATTTGTACAAATTTAAAAGATATAAAGGCTTATAATTTAGAAGTGAGGACAATTTATGTCTGCAATAATTTTCACAGTAGAATTCCTATTTATTACTATCCTCACTTCATGACTTACCTTTTGTAAACTGTTTTAGCCAAACTCAAGTTACTGGTCACATTATACAATAATGGATTGAAATGTAAGGTTACATGACTTCATATGAGACAGATAATCCAGTGACTCCTTCCCTTTAAGGCTACAGAAATGTATGAATTCAATTTGTAATTCTTAGCAATCTTAATATCAGCATATAATGACAAAATGCAGAGACTTTAGTATGCTTCATTGGCTGTGACAATATAGTAAAGAACACAGAAACATTTAGACCCAAATCATTACTAGTTTTTAAAATGTGGTATTTCCTAACAGAAAGTCTCTTTAACTTCAGTAACTGACACCTTTGTTATCAACGTTATTATCCCATTTAATTTTTCTTTAGCACTTCTTCAATGTGTTTGAACACACTAGCATCTTCAATGGTCGGTGTTATCTGAAAAGGAAGAATATACAGAAGCATGTAATAGTAAATTGTGGTCCTTCAACAGTAAAACAGAATTTCATTCAGACAATCTTCTAAATCTAGCCATCAAAAGCAATCAAGAAAAAAGTATCTGGAAAGCTCTGGAACAAAAAAATCTTTTGGGTAAGCTACAGTAGAAATAAAATACAATGTACTACCTGAAGTCACGGACCAGTTGCAGAATGGTCTAGAGAATCGAAACCGTGATGTTGTGTCTTTGATGTGCACGTGTGCCTAATTCATTAAAGCATACATCTCCAGCTTACCTTATAGGGCTTTCCACTGACAAGTGCAGAAAGAGCTGAACGTGGTATCTTGCCAGAGCGTGTTTTCGGTAGCTGTTTCACAAACACCCCCTTCTGGAAAGCTGCTACTGGACCAATGTTAGTTCGAACTTGCTCAACAACCTCTTCCAAAATCTTCTCCTCTTCTGTCTTTACACCTAGTGAAGAAGTTCACATACTTTACCTTTTCTGGGACTTTTGCAAGTCTAAGTAACATCAGCATCAGCAAGCTCTCACCTTCTCTCAGTACACACAGCGCAAATGGAACATGTCCTTTTAAAGCATCCTCCTGGCCCACAACAGCACAGTCTGCCACAGCGTGATGGAGGAGAACACACTGAGGGTCAGAAAACAACACGAAACTGAACTAATAATAACTGAACATTTCAGTGAAGAAATTCCATAGGCATGGACATAAAAAATAAACTTATTTCCTACATTTTGACAGCAAGAAGTATTTAATCAGTACACCTCAGGATTCCAATTACACATTGCAGATGCACATGTGTGTATACTTTCATACACATGTGTAGTTTTCAAACAAACATGAGAAATAAAAACTACAGTAACACAAGATACAAATATAGAACAAAGCAAAGGTGATTTCCTGACAGCTTTGGTAGGGTATCACATCTTTGGTTTTGTTAGTGAGATCTTTGCTGGAACAAATAACATTAGTCTAACGTTACGAATAACATGAAGTTAAGTGTGTGGAGTAAGGACCAAAACCACAGCAGCACTCCTACTACAGGGCTGTAAAGTATATTGGTTCATGCTCTCTGAATCCTGTCTTTTTCAATTCTTTGCTGCACAAAGGCATAGTTCCAACCAAAGAGCAACACAGGCCCAGCCTCAGCTTGCAGCTAGCCTAGTTCAGCTCACTCTCTTGGAAACGCTACGTCTCAGCCTCCTTAGACAAAAAAGGGAATTAAACAAGAGTCCCCTCCTTCCTACTACACATTTACACTATTATACAAGTGATAGACAGTAGCACTAATATCTTAAACTCTTATGGAGTTTACACTATGGAAATGTAGACTAGTAAGGTCTACAACTAGAGTAACTATATTTTTTCACAGAAAAGTAGGAAAAAGGATTTCTCATGCTAAATTCCTCAATTTCAAGTCTGTTGCCTCAGATAGGCAAGAATTGATTTGGGTTTTTTCAGAGTCAAGGCAAGCAGGGACACCATAGATATACAGACAAAAGAGATGGATAGATCAACACAAGCTGAGGTTACCCTAATGGCTAACATTCACTGATTGGCAAGGTAAACAGTAACACCTACTGCATTGCAGTAAACATGGAGCTCCAATGATACTAATAGATACCTTAGACAAAGAAACTAATTGTTTGGAACATAGTAATGCTGAAATTCTTAGTGAAAGCTTGTTAAGCTTGTAATGCAGCTATAATGTAAATGCAGATAATATACTTGCTTAACAAGGTGACTGTCACTTAATTAGATGGCGATTCAATGAACCTCTAATTCTGTATTTACTGATCTTACTGAAGAGCTAACCATGGTCTTGTTAATACTTTCCCATTTAACTAGCAATTTGCTGTGCATGCATTAACAACACTCTTGTTTTTTAGCTTTGTTCAAAAGGTGAATAGAAAAGCTTCTAGAATTTTGTAGCGATGAAAATTTTTTTGCTTCTAGGGAAAAGACCTAACTAGCAGGGATAAAACAGACACTGAGCTTGGGATGATGGATACAAAGGTAATACAGCTGAGAAGGGGATTCAATTCGTCATTTGTTAAAGGAGCTTCAGATTCAGCCTGAAGTGAAGAAAGACTGCCCAGCTCAGCCCCTGAGCAGTCGAGCAGTCAGGGGTGGGGATAAGATTCTCTGCCACGCTTTAGTAGAGCAACACAGAAAACTGACTTCAAAGGGAAAGAGGTTTAAGCGGACTGAAAACCACCTTTATGTCTCCATAGACCCAAGTCAGGGCAGCAGCTGGTTCGGCTCCCTGGCTGACCGATCCTCAAAGGATTGCCTATGTTTACCTGAATTTGTTCACTTCTGTGTAATCAGAATGTCTTCTATCCTCTTTTAAGTTTTCTAGCCTTTTAAAAAAATAGTCACTAGGCTAATAGACACTATAAAGCAAAAAAAAAATGACTAACAGATTAGTTTGTGATTCAGTGAACAGTTAAATTCTGAGTTCTTAAAAGTGTATTTTTCCCTTGTACATGCCCAGCACACCTTTTCCTATACTCCCTGAATAAGCAATTGATATGTCATCAGGGAAATTTGTAACTGGCAATCAATCACAGTGGTTCCAGAGAGGTGAATGAACAATGATATAAAATTCAGATACTATTATGAACTGCACTATTTTCAACTTTTTGAGTTGAATGGGTATTACATTAATACTTTCAATTTAACAGCAGGGGGTTTTTACAGAAATTTTCATTGTTCATTTAACACTGCTCATACAATAAGAGACAAAACAGGTCTCAAGAAACTGCAAAGGAAACTCTTCAAATCAAGAAAAAGCACTGGATGCCAGTCTATGTGAAAAGAATTCAGCCAACACCAAGCTCTTTAAAAAAACCCACAACTAAAATCTGTATTCTAGGAATGAAAGTTTCTACTCCTAAGTAACTACAGTAGCTGGTGAAACTACTTGGCACACTGACCCTACATTATCTTAATGTATTCCCAAATAAATATGTTATCAGAGCTTACAGGAATGCTTCCCATGCTACCATATTGCCCCTTAACTCCACCTTCAAATATCAAATCATGCCTCTCTTATCAATCCCAGGGTACAAACTGCTTATTGTTGACTAAATTTATTATGGTACTGGAAAGCACCTTAACAGGAAGGACCTGAAACAATTAGTGTTTTGCTTAAAAGTACCAATGGAAATGCAATCAAAGAAAGCAGAAAGAAAATGAGAGAGTTTGTGAGATTTTCAGTCTCAGCTTGCTTTATTCATCTCTCACTCTTCTATTTTACTGTCAGGCAACACTAACCTCTTCAATTGCGCCTGCTGAAATTCTGTGTCCGGCAACATTGATCACATCATCAGCTCGAGACAGGACGTATAAATAGCCATCTTCATCCATATAACCTGCATCCATGGTATCATAATATCCCTAAACACAACACAACCAAAAATAAACTCAGAAATACTACTAGGAACATCCATTCATCTCCCATGAAACCAACAAACAAAACTGATTGTTTCAAATGAAATACAGTTTTGGTGCCTGAAAGATTTAATTCTGTAATATTTTTCACCTTTCTTACATCATAATATACCATGCAGCTCCCTTTCCAGAAAGGTTTTGTAGTCTTTTTTAAGACAGAACAGAAGTCAACACATAAACCTGGATTTTTTCCAACTCTGCTTACTTTGATCCCTGACAGCTTGGAGAAGGATGTTGCCTGAATCGACACAAGGAGAATGGAATGGTTACAATATAATGACAGTTGTCAAATTGCTCCAAAGGATATTCCTGTTTGCTGGATCCAAACATACATCATCATCATCATCATGCAAGTGCACACAAAAAATAATTTGCCTGATCAATTCACTCATTTACCTTCATTGAGGCAAACCTTCCGTTTTGGAAATTCACATAGGACCAATCTATCTATTCCTGTAAGGAAAGGAGGAAGCCAGTCCTTGGATAGTCAATCTGACAAGGAAACATAACTAATGCAGTAAGGAGCCTTCAATGTATTTAGGTGCACAGTGACCAAGTGTATATTTTGGACTGATACTAAGTTAGAATGACTGCATGTCAACAGCAGTAGCATATTTGAAGCTATGCTAGTCTAAGGTAGCGAGGCTTGTTTCTTTTATTAGATCAAATGACATGAAACAACTTTTAGGCTCAGGAGTTTGCAGTTTACTACTTCTGTTTCAGATCTTAAAAAAAAAAAAGTGTGCCCAAAAGCTTAAAGTATGGATGACAAAAGTTTTACCTTGAAGTGTTTTTAACTGTATAACATTTATCAAAGATCTCCCATTAAAATAAGATATGATAATTTTCTATATTTTCCAGTTTAAATCTACTATCATTCAGTCCTACAGGATTACCAAAAGTTTATATAATTCATTTCGTAATTCTTACTGGAAATTTTTGGAAATACAACTTCTGGAACACTTCCTGATTTTCCCAAAGACCTGAGAATGCTCCAGGAGGCAAAGGCAACCTTAAATTAAAAAGAGCAGAGGGAAGTAGTAAGAAACACAGATATAACAGGTACAACTCATGCTCTCCATTCATACTTCATATTCAAATAAATAGTCATTGGCTATACAATCAGAAAACAGATCAACTTAATAATATGCTGATAACAGATCACAAAGACCATATATTTATTGTGATCACATGCATATAGCTCTGAACTGTATCCAGGCCATACCTTAAATATAACATAAGCATCTCTGGCATTCAGCAAAACGTTTGGTCTAGTAAACACTATATACCGTACTATAAATATGTTATCAGCATCCAGCTTTCAACATTTCCAAGGAAAAAGTATGTCAGAAATGTGTGCATATATGCTATGATACAGGCAACTTTGTTATTACAGGTGTCTCTTTCTCTAACACACATACACACTCACACATGCATAGACATATTAATTGAATTATCAGACACACAGACCTTCAGTTTCTGTAAAAAGATATAACTCAAATGACTTCAGCCATGGGAATCTGAACAAAAATGCTTTTCTTTATTTAAACTGTGCATAATATTATTTGAATTATTGGAGTTCTTTGAAAGTATATTGATACAAGTCACTTTTAGAACTTTCTAAAATAACTGGACTTATTTTTATTTTTTTTAAGAAGCGAAGCTCCAAAATTCTGGATGGGTTTATTCGCTGAGTTTTCAATGCATATTATACACTCATTCTTCAGTCAAGGACACGGGCATGACAGAATATGGGACGCTCCAGATACATATCTGCCAGAAGAAGAAAAGCTACAGAAGTCTCAGCTAACAAAGAAGTGGTTGCTTCTTCCTTCAAAGCTCTGATAGAGTTAAACATGGCTTACTTGAACTGCCCAAGACACCCATATTCGGGGATATCAACACAAATTTTATGAAGCTTAACCCTACTAACAGAGGGAGAATGATCATGCAAGCAAGCATATTTATGCAGATAGAATCATACGTGCCTTATACAGGTTTTACTAGCATATGCCTGCATACCTAACCAGCAAATCTTTAGCCAGGGGTATTTTATTTTCTACTCCAGTAGTCTCCCTGTGACACCAGAAGGCAACATCTCTCTCTAGCACTGAAACACACCTCTGCAGTGTAGCAATACCAGAATCATTACAAGTCTCCTATGATGTTCAGGTCACAAGAATAGGTGCTACCAGCTCAGTGACAGGGACATTTCTAACATCACATTTACAAAAAGAATATATATATATATTTATATATACATATATATACACACACACACTTTTTTTTTTTTTAACCTAAATTTGCTGTTATCGTGGTTTAACCCCAGCCAGCACCTAAGCACCACGCAGCCGCTCACTCACTCCCCCCCCCCTCAGTGGGATGGGGGAGAAAATCGGGAAAAGAAGTAAAACTCGTGAGTTGAGATAAGAACGGTTTAATAGAAGAGAAAAGAAGAAACTAATAATGATGTTGATAACACTAATAAAATGACAACGGCAATAATAAAAGGATTGGAATGTACAAATGATGTGCAGTGCAACTGCTCACCATCTGCCAATCGACACCCAGCTAGTCCCCGAGCAGCGATCCCCCCGCCCCCACTCCCCCCAGTTTATATACTGGGCATGACGTCCCATGGTATGGAATACCCCTTTGGCCAGTTTGGGTCAGCTGCCCTGGCTGTGTCCTGTGCCAACTTCTTGTGCCCCTCCAGCTTTCTCGCTGGCTGGGCATGAGAAGCTGAAAAATCCTTGACTTTAGTCTAAACACTGCTGAGCAACAACTGAAAACATCAGTATGCGAAGAATGTTGATAATGCTGAACTCAAAACACAGCACCAAACCAGCTACTAGGAAAACAATTAGTTCTATCCCAGCTGAAACCAGCACAGCTGTAAATAGTACAAGCTACATTGAAAAGACCGTATTATCTAGTAATGATTCAAATCCATTATTTTTTACAATCCCAAGTTTTTTCAGTTTAATTCAGCTCAATTAGCATAATAGAATATACTACTATAAATATTACTATTTTCTCTGAGGGTTCTGGCTCAACACATTCTATAAATCACATTCCCTGAAAGTATGGTTAAAGCAAGGCCAGAAATGGCAAGACACTTCCCAGGTAGTCACCCAGGCTGCAGGAGGGCAGGTTGGCTTCTGCCCATCTAGAGGGAATTCAATCGCCTATTTTAAGCCTTTCAAGCTTAGTACGCATCTTCACGATACACAAACATGACCTATAGAGTATTTGCCTTGGAAAAAAATAAATTAGAAAACCAATATATTGATCCTGGTGTCTGTGTATGTATGAGTTCAAAAGAAAAATCTCTTGTTTAGATTCAAGAAAAACCACTACAGAATGGTAGTTACTATGGTTGTTGCCTGGTTGCTAATAGCACAGCAATTCGTAACAGCCTCAGTCACTACACATTTTGCACTTAAATTTATGTAACAGTCTGAAGCATCCTTGCGATGGGAGAGAAAGGACAATTCATATTGACAAAGTCCTTAATAATTTCTCCACAGCTCTATTCAGTACTTTGTGGTTAGTCATTAAATAGAAAAACCAATTTCATTGCTGAAATCAGAGAAGCACTTTCCTTTCTGTAACTGCAAGTGTTTAGAAATCTAAACCCAGAAGTATGTAACATATCACCAAAAATATAATTCCTGCTCCCACCATTTGGTGTTGTTTGGTTTTTTTAGTTGCGGGTTTTTTTGGTTTGGGGGTGGGGTTTTTTTTGGGGGCGGGGGGGAGGCCACAGTGTTTGGTTTTCTTGTGGTTGGTTTTTTTAAAGGAAAATTGCATTGATAAATACATGCACAGTGCATATTTCATAAGTCTATGGAAACTAGACTGCTAAACTACTGGCTACCACAGGTATGTCCATAGTGCAAATCATAGCACAATACAGACACAATCTGAAAATGTGCTTCCATGGCTTTCTGTAAAAGATTATTTGCAGTTTGGACTCCATTCCATATACAAAGCAAAAACTGAATGCCATCTTCCATGTGTCCATCTTTCAGGCAAAATAATTCCAGAGCAATAGGCACATAACAATTCTTCCATGATGGCAAAGTTCTTAGCATTATGACTGACTAGAATTTCTAGGTGCTGTGCAAACACAAATAATTAATAAAATTAATAAAGGTAGAATTCAGCTTGCCAGAACATAATTACATGTATTGGAATTTTGCCAGGACATCAGAATTAAAATGCCCAGAGCCAAAAATACCTCCATCCCACTGCTCTTGGTGGGAATGCTGCCATGAATTCCAAAGAGAGCAGAACTGGATCATAATTATGTGCAAGGAGCCAAAGAGAGAAAATGAGATAGTCAGAATATAATGGCAACCTGAAAGCAAACACCTCTTCCTTTCCTCAACCCCCCCATAATAAAGGAACATTTTGAGATGTTGGCTTTGGGTCTATTCTCCCTAGGAAACAGCACACACCTACAAAAGTTCTGTATTGAAAAACTCTTGCCTCTTTGTCCAAACACTGAGTTGATGCTCAAGGCCTTTTGGGGTTATTTTTATTAAGAGGATATATTGACCAAAAAATGTCAGGTATGCATAAGTAAGCATGACTGCCCCAGAGATGGTCCTGCTTTGCTTTCACAAGCGACAGGACCACAGAAGACCAAGACAGGAGGAGGTAGGTTCCTTCATCATCATTTCCACAACATACAAAAAAGTTGCTTTGCTTGGTTTCCCTTTGGGCCATATTTACTGTATTTCTCTAGCTAGCTGTTACCTTCTCTCATGCTGCATGCCAAGCCATAACCCAGTCAGTGTTGAGCCTCTGCATCTACAATTAGTTCCAAGATAAGCCCACCCTTACACTATTCTTGCTTTGATTTTTCATATTGTCATAACTCTGGTAGCATCTTCTATCTCCTCATTGCTTCTTCCTTCTGGAGGGGACAGTCACAAGCTTCAACAAATACAAATTCAAGACAAGCTTGCCACCTTTTTCTAAAATATGAATGTGTTACCAACTATATTGGATCAGTCTAGCTACAGTCAACTCATCCTGTTTAACTAGCAAGAATAGGCAGTTTCAAACCCAAGCTGAGGTTCAAGCCAAAAAACCAACACTGAGCTGAATCAAAACATGTGAACTTGAGAAAAGTTTACCTTTGGATTGCAAACCTCAAAAAAGATGAATAGGTCTGAATTTTGATCTCACTCATGCCAATTTTTCACCAGTACAACATCAGCAGTATAAATTATGCTATTCTCCATTTACTCCAGTGAAATTAAGATGACAATTATAGTACTACAGGAATACAGATCCAGGTCCATTTCTCACTTCAAGGTTGAATACATTTAGAACAGCATCAGGAAAGCTAGGTAAACTGTGTAAATTAATGATGTAAATTATATGGGTTCATTTTGCAGGGATCCACTCCGGTTACATTTTACAAAGATAAGAAGGTAATTTCATTATAAATTGGAGAAACTAAGACAGATTAGGTGAGCTTGGCAGCATCACAAAAAAAGTCTGAAGTACTTTCAGAGTAACTGTTTTCTGCTAGAGAATTTTAAATGACAATCATTATCTTTTTTTTAAGCATTGGTTCACAGTTCATTTATTTCATACAATGGTGGCTGACCTTACACAGAACAGCCCACCTTTAGCTTAGCCCAAGAAAGTCTGACTCCATGTGACACATCCTTTCAGGATGCCACTCATCAAAATGGTGTAAGATTTCTTTTTGATGGAACAAAGCAATTATAGACACAGCACTCAAAAGATAATTTACACAGAAAAGCAGATTTCTGAAAGTACAAATGAAAGTCAAAAACTATTAGAGATGCTACCTTGCTGAGTTTCCGAAAAAACATCCCTTTATTTTATGGTAGACAATGGTACTTACAGGCTGTTCATTACAGCCAGTCAAAGCAAGTATAAGCCATTGTTAAATGAGTTCGGGCTTGTGAATGGAGCTAAATCATCTTGACTGGCAGCTATATTATTACTCAGCATTTATGTAGTGCT